TTCCACAAGTAGGGGTATTTAGACTACAAAACACTAAAACAATTGAAAATTAATTAAAATGTGTATGTGTGTTGCAAAATTGTCTTTACTGTTCATATTTAAAGTAACTACTGTGTGTTACTGTAGCACCTGTTAAAAACCACGTGGGATGAGAGATTACTGGGATGAGCCATTACCTGAAGTCCAAATGAGGGACCGAGGGGGGCTCACTCCTAAAAGGTGCCGCCCCAATCCCAGGGCAGTCTCCTGTTTCAGAACCAGGTTCACAGAAGGTGGGCAAGTAGGTGGAGGAATGTACATGTGTGGGGATGTGGTATCGGGGTGCAAGCTAGGGTGGATGACCAGAAGCTATTGCTTGGGGGCAGCAGGGCTGAGGGACTCCAGAGTTCCTGCTAATCAGAGCATGCTCTCTCTAGTCCCTGTTCTCGCTGACCTTTCTGCTAACCTTTACAAGTATTCTAGGTAATCTTGCTACTCTGACCATAATATCTGCTTGCTGTTTTCAGCAGATATTAGTTTCCTAGTTTCCAGTAATGTTTCTCATACCAGGACTTTTGCCATTGGTGAGAAACCTACTGCATGAGTGTACAAATGTACAACTTGACCGGGAACTCTGGGCAGCAAGACAATAGCCCCAGGAACAAGGAGGGCTGGGGCTTCCTCACAGTGTTATAGCACCAAGAGTTATTTCCTCTTGCTAGATGGTCTCACATGGACAGATACCATTAGAATAACTCCCACGCTCTCTCCACTCCCACGCTCTCTTCATCTTCTTATGTGTTCTTCCCATGAGAAGGGAAGACACATGACTGACAAGGTTAGCATTATGGAACTTACCATGCTTAGCTTCCCCTCCATAGCTGTAAGATGAAGCTACCTGTCTAAAGAGATCACATACCCAACTCTGTCCTCCACCCTTGGTATTTACAATTATTGAGTATTGTTCAGTAGTGTTATAATTTGAAATTGAATGTGTCTAGTTATTTATTTCACTATTAGTAATCAAAATTGGCCCATATCTATCAAATGCCTACCTACAGAACCTGATCTGTAAAAAGACAGTATTTGAATTCAAAAGCATTTCTGAGGAAAACTAATTTTGCTTTGAAATTGTAAGGAAGAAGGGTTGTGACATATTAGCCTGATAAAACAGCAACACAACTTAAATCAATCAGTCTAAGAGTTGTAAAAATTCTCCTGTACTTTCTCAAGATTTCAGAAGTCACAGAATTTTCTCTCAAGACACAGTCTCTTATTTATAGTTTCAGGTATGAAAATAAAGTTAGTGCTATCTTTGGAATATAAGTGAAATACAAAGGAGAGGATTTTTTGTTTTTTTAAAAATTCAGTTTTTAAGTCATCTTATAAATGTATCTCAATATTTAGGGACAAGAATATGTAACTATGAAATTTATACTTTTATATTGCAATAAAAAAACCCACCAATGATGGCTTTATGATATATCTATGATTCATTTACCTGAATTTTTTGCATGCCTACCTCAACTCATACTAAATGTGACTTTTATGTATCCTAATCTCAAGCACTCCTTCTGTTCATAGATGTAATTTCACCTCACATAGTTAATTACAACATGCTTTAGGTAGTGTCTATGGTAACCATTGAGGAAGAAATTCATATCCAGGGATTAATACTCAAGTATTCTTCAAGCTTGTCTTACTAACAGGATATTCATTCACCCATAAGTTAATCTGTTTCTCACAGGTCAGTCTTCTGCGGTTTTCTGCTGCCCTATTTGATATGTATTTTGTATTTTAAATAAATGTTTTATATTTCCCATCTTGACCTGGAAGTCCAAATATGATATAATATAGCCTATAAAGATGCAGCTTCCTAAATATGTAACTGAAGACACAAAAATGCACAACCGATATACAGTTAGGCTAAATCCAAGTGTAGCAAAATGAAGTCAGGCTGCCAAGTTACCCACTGGCTGGACAGTTGTCATGTAATTTCTGATCATCTCTGCCATGAATAAAAGATAAGGATAAGGTGTTCTAAGGAATGATACCAGGTTGAGCCAAGATGCTATGGACAGAGATCTAATTAGGCAGTAAGTGAAAGCATATTTTAAATATAAATACATTTTCAAAAATGTGCAAAAGTCAACAGAAATTGCAGCGCCAGAAATATGGAAGAAGAGATAGAAAATCTGAGACCACCGAAGCATGGCAAGAAAAAATTGTAACGAAAACAAAAAATATATATATAATTTGTAAGATCAGAAGATGTTGAATATTTGAAAGAAATCTGAAAGCATGAAAAGCTTTGAACTTAGAATTAAGATATAAATAAGAACGACCAAATTAGTGTACATGACAATTGGTATTCCATTATCTGTGGCTTCTACTTAATCAGGCTATCACTGGCTCACTGAAATAAAGTCACAAGAAAGCAGTTCATTTTTATTCTACTGAAGCAAGGCATACAATTAAAGAAAAATGCTTTCCAAATTAGGGTTTCAGAGATAATTCATGTTCTGAAAATTCCTCATAGTGATGAACTAAGCCTATCAAATTTCTACATCTATGGCTCTTTCGCTCAGTGTGAAAATGGCAATGAGCAAACTCACTGGCATTGCAAAGAGAGCACTCTGGTGTGACTAGTGATGTAAGGAGAAATGCTGTGCTGTGGAATAAGCAATACTGTAAACTAGTATTCCCCGATAGGTTTCATTACAAAATCATGTAGCAAAGAAAAATATATCCTCTTCTCTTGGCATTCGAGTCTATACAGTTGGACGTGGCTGACTGCAAATGTGGGTTTTCTTAGGAAAGTGATGCCTGAAGCCTCACATGGTCCTAGTGTTAGTAAGCTGTCCCTGGCCAGGGAGCTGACCCATACGGCACAGCAGACCTCTCCTGTCTCACCCACCGCTCCCTTCACATGTATTCGATAGATTCACTTGTTTTGCTCCCCACTCTGTCTCTAGTGGAGCATCTTACCCCTCAAACCTCTGACCTATACCCCAGTTCTTATAGGCATCAATACATTAAAAAAAAAATCAAGCTTTTAAGAAAATTATGCCTATTATAAAAGCCATAATTTTTTTTTAAATTTACACAAGTTTTGCATTTCTTCCATTGACTGGTTCAATATAAAAAAAGTTACAGTCAAAAAATAATCTCCCTTGGTTAAGGGAAAACATGTGGAAAATAAAAAGACGTGATGGTCAATTACCTGCAGCCTGGTTAAATTGATAAAACTGAAATGTGTGTCAAGTTGCCTTTGTAATTTCAAGGACTGCTAAACCAGAGCTGCAGCCCCTTAGTTAGCTTCTGCAATATGAGGAAAAATGGACGAAGTCAAAGGCATACATATAAGACTTGAAGTAACAGCATCTCTGTAAGACTTCCACTGGCTTTGGTTTCTGGCAGGTAGGACCTTGGCAAATTTCATTAACAACATCCATCTCCCTCTCCGCACTGCTGAAAGTCAGATACTGAACTAACCAGGGTAAACTCTTTCCTGGGGCTCTCATGTTTAACACGTCATGGAGATCCATCTCCAACCTCTGTTAAGGTGGGCTTTGGCATCATTTTACTCTGTGAATGTTTACCCTGCTATAACCAGCCTTAATACGTAAGGATATGATCACTAGCCATATTTTCGCCACATTTTTCTTCCCTACCATTTAAAATAATTTTTTTCAAATACTATCAACTCAAACTAAAAGTTATAAAATAGTTTCTTTCTATTTTTCCATTTTCTTTGTCACTGTTGCCTGAGAATGTCTTTTCTCAAAAAGTGGTAGTTAAACTAAAAATACACACTGAGAAGAATGGGACTGTTGGCCGTCTTTTGACTTCAGTGATTTTCTGCACAGTTTCCATCTGTGATTCTTTCCGCTTGAATACACATTAAAAGACTGGAAGGGTGGAAGTGGGGGAGGAGGTAGATGGAAATTATTCTCTGAGCATATTTATTATGCCAACAATGCAATTTAATGCATCTTTGATGGTGTGCAATTAGGTATTAAAATTTCTCATAACCAGAAATGTTCTCGGTCAGTGGGAATTACTGTAGATAATTTCAGGCAACCTGGGAATAATTTGGCTAGCTGAAGGCCTAGACCAATATATAAAGCATTCAGTTTAGGGGAAAAAAATTGATTTGTTCTTCACATTAATTCTCTACTTAACTATATTGGGAAATGCAAATTCACATAAAACCTGAAGTGAAAACCGATAGTTCTTTTATACTTTAAAATAAATTACAAAGACACAATATGGCAACTAAAAAATAATACCCTAAACCATAATTTGCTGATTTTTTTTTTCTAAAGGGTTAATAATTTTTGGACAAAGCTAAGAATTTTATTTACTGTGTATTACTGCTTTAATTAAGATTCCAGTTGTATTTTCATTAGTTTCCCTTACTGTCTCTCATTTTCTGACTCTGACACCAGCATTTCCAAGGGAGCATGCAGTGACGAGAGAGGGCTGGACTGGGGGATAGTTGGATTGATTTATCAGATACACACGGCTGTTCCATGCTTTCAAATTCTGGTCACATTCTCTACTCCTGGCTTGCCAATTTGGCACTGTATTTGTTAACAAGGAAACTTGAACAGAGCAGAAAACAAGTACAAGAAGCATCAGTAGGACCGGCATCAGAGTGAAGCAGATGAAAAGCACATGTCAAGGTAGTTCTGAGCGCTCTAATAACCAGAACAAGACGTGTGATTCATAATCTTCATGATCAAAGCTCAAATGGATATTTTCCTAAAACACTTCACTTTAAATGGTGAGGATATAGGCAGCTCATGAATGAAGGTGTGTGTTCAGTCGGTAGTTATTCTTTTGGAATTTTAAAGATTAGTCCTATTTAAGTCAATATATTTAGGATGCTGAAATATAAATGATTGTTACATAATTATTAGGGCAAAAAGTTTTCTTGCATGTCCTATTCATGCTACACATGAAACATTACAATCAGACCAAAGCAAAGCTTGCCCGCAGGGCGAGCTGGTACTCACTTAGCATGGCGGATATCTGGCAGGGACCTCTCTAGAGCAATATTGTTGCTGACAAAAATATTGAAGCCATTTTCCCTGTAAGCTGAATCATCGTGATCCTCTTCAGTGAGGGGATAAGGTTTTCCATGTTCACCTTTCCCTAGCAAGAGAAAGCAAAATGGAGTTATCACCTGTATAAAAGCCATTTTATTTTCTATTTTGTTAGTCATCTGTTACTATACTGCACAGAAGCTTCTAGCTGCAAGCTTTTATAACATGATTTCATTTAGAAAAACAAAATAGACTCATGATAAAAGGCAACACATAAGAAGTGTAATCTCAGCCTCCAGAGAGAACGACCGCTACAACATTCCGTGTCTATTTCTTAAATTTCAATGAAGATTCTAATACACATATGCTTTATAACTTGCTTTTATCCAGTATAAATGAATAAAAAGCCACCTTTTCACTCCAATGGTTTACATTATTTGAATATATTCAAATTTATACAAACCCATTGAAGATACAGTTTATTTCTAAATTCCCTATTATAAGCAATGCTGAAATGAACATCTTTGCTTTTATCTTCACAGTTATATATGTTTGGATGAGAGGCTAATACAGTATTTCTTTTTTTAACGAATTTGATAGCTTTCTCAGAAGCACTGAACAATATTTTAAGATTTACTAGTGGAATAGATATTATTCATATTTTGACCTTCTTTGGTTATTAATGAATGTAACAACTTCATGTACTTTCATCATTTACATGTCTTAGTGTAAAATAATTGCCATTTTAAAAAGATTATGTTTTACAACCATGTATTTTGCTTACTTATAAAACTTTGCTAGTATAAAATATTCACATATGATGTGATATTTTCAATCTTTTTTTTTTTTTTAACTTAAATCTGACTTAAGACTTCTGGTTTGTGGTTCTAAATAAAAAGCTTGCAAGTGGCCACCTCATCCTAACAGTGAACAGCTGAACAGACAAAAAAATAACAACTATTTTTGGATTCACAAGAGTAGAGGGCATGGGACCAACGAATGCCCAAGACTAGAAGACAGGGCAGTACAGGGAGCACCCTCTTACCAGAGCAGAAACTCAGCACCTGGAAATCGTGGAAACGTCTGGAACACAACTCCGGGTAGGAAAACCTGAACTGTAACTGACAAATTGCTAGAGGCTCAGTGTGAGCAAGCCTAGCAGTTAAAAATCCAGGAGTCTTCAACAGTATTGTGAGATTTAACTCCAAGAGCTCAGCTAGGTTTTGTCAGAGAAAAATCCTCTTGTGCTTCCGAGCAGGGAAGAAAACAGGAACTATTCCGAAACACCCGGAACGTCTGTTCTTAAGTAGGCCACTCTCAGGTGAAATTAGTTGACCAGCGCCTCAATGACTGGGGAATCTGAGTATAAAATTCACCTGGCAGGAGGAAAATACCAACTCTAGCCTGCTTCAGTATCTTGTCCAACCAGGGGGAGGAGAAAACTAAGACAGCATGAAGCTCACAGAAATACGAACTCTGAGACCTAAGCTAGGGGTAAAACCCATCTCCTCTGCCACTCCTCACTGCCATGGTACCAAAGACTGATTATCGTACCTCCTTGACCCACTACATCCATCTGTCTGAGTAACTGGAAATGCAGAGAGCACTACTCTCAGAACCCGGTGAGGCAGGGGTGGTGGTGGTGTTTTGTTTGTTTGTTTATTTGTTTGTTTTTTTCGAGTGGGAACTGAAAGGATCAGGATCAGCAGGCTAAAGCAGATTATACCACACAATGGGTAAGGATATGGAAAATGGGTTGTGTGACCTTAGATGAAAAAAGTTAGAAAGACAATCTGAGAAGCAAGATAAAGGGTGCTGGAATACCCACCTTAGTATTAGAGAGTTGTAGGAAATTAAAACTATCTTTGGTTCCAGAATGAATAGAACTCATGCAAGAGCAGGTGGGCCGTAGAAGCAGAGAGATGGGAATGTTTTTAAAGTGAGATAGGAGTTCCCTGGCACAGACCCGGGGACAAGACAAAGTCAAAGACAGAACTTTTGCAAGAACTTTACTATGCCCGCAGACTGATGAACAGGAGGTTAAAAACCTGATGACCACAGGCCAGCACTCCTGCTGTTATAAATGTCGTGGTTATCTTTTGCTTTTATTTTTACTCAGGCTGGACATTTCTGAGCTATCGTTCCACAGGTGATCAAGTTGGCTGCTGTGAGGAGACAGAAGTTAAAAGATCCAGAAGAGAAAAGGCGTCACAGGCCTTGAGGCTGAGGGGTTCAACCTGGAGCTGCGGGCACGCGGCCGCTAGGAGCCTCCTGCTGTGTGGGAGGTCACGACGGCACGACCCCAAGGAGCAGCTGCTGGAAGTTCACAGTTGGCAACGGTATGTGGGCTTTTGCCAAGTCCACCGTCTTGCTTTCTCAACCAACAGTTTCATCGGCCCCATTTTTAAATGGGGTAAAAACTTTCCCGGCCCCATTCCTAAAGCTCACACAGAGCCCTGCCTTCCGCACCTGTCTCTTTCATGTCCAGAGACTGCCCCTCGGTGCTGTCTCTTTTCTTGCTCTTTCACTAGTCAGTAAACACCGACTCCTCGCCCCTTTGGATCTGTGGACGCCTCTTTTCAATCTTAACTAACGAGTCTCAAAAAGTCCACTCCTGGCCTGGGCAGGGCCCCGAGAGGCAGGTAAACAGCTCGTGGGCCGTGACTGCTGAGCAGCAAGCTTACCTGCCAGTTTTGTGGGGGAGAGTTGGGGTTAGGCTGAGGGACCCCCCAGGCCCGCTTACTTGTCCAGTAACAAAAGAACTAATAGTAAAGTAATTTTAACAGGAAGGAAAAATGCCTTTGCTAAGCATATTAGCAGACTGGACACAGCTGAGGAAAAGTTCTGAGTCTGAGGCTCTCTCAGTAGAGACCTTGGAAACTGAGAAGCAGAGAAAACAAAGGTTGAACCAGATGAAAACAAATATCCAGTTCAAAAAGGTGCCGCTATATGATGCACCTTATACGATACTGGTTTGGTTTCATAGTTTACAGTAAAGAACATTGAAGTAGACCTGTATTTAGTCTGGTAATGACTTTAATGAGATTCCTGCTAAAACCCGCAAACGTAAGGTAAATACTGGACATGTTTCTAAGTGTGTGTGTGTTTGTAATTTATCATGCTAACAAGTAATTCTTGTCCTTCAAAGGCTGTTTCATGAATAGGGATTAAAAGTTATCAATGCATTTGCAATTTTTTAAAAGATTTTACATTTTTCACCTTATTAATCTTTGATTTTGCAATGCATTGTTGGTAATAACTGTAATTTAGTTTTATTAGAAAATATAGTTTCTACATCAGTGATTCCTCAAATAAAGGTGAAGACACCTTATTTTCAGCTTCTAGCTTTTCCTTAAGGACATTAAGGAAAACAACAACAAATTTGAAACAGTTGGATGATAAGAAGGAGTTACAAGCTAAAGGAACAGACCGAAAATCTCTTTCATTTTAAGGGTGAGAAACAAAATTTTTATGCCATTTTTGGCATCCAAAAATAAAATATTGAATCTTGCCTACTTCCATCTTTTTATTTCTTAAGCGAAAATGCTGTTTGCTATTTTCAAACTCAGTGGAAAAGAAATAAAAGCAAGATTTTTTTATTCATATGGTAGCTAGTTTTTATTCATATGGTAGCCAGAATGCACAAAGTACGATGTGAAATCATTTTACATACTTTTTGGTCTCAATACACTAAGAAACATTGTCCTACTCATGCTATACATAAGGAAACCGGAGACTGGTTTTTTCAATATGCATTTCCACCATTAGCAATTAGCGGTCAGACCTGGGGAAACTCTTAAAAGATCTCTTTTTCAGAGTCCAGAGAAAGTCTTTTCACTTTATATTTTCTGTTTTTATAAATGGGATTTACAGGCCACTCTATAAATCCTATTTGATAAGAAAATCACATTACACAGTAATCTTTACATTCCTTAATAAAATTTTATTTTTTAATTTATATGTCCTCAGTGAAATGTATACATACCACCCAGGCTTCTTTTCCATAATTACTGTAGAGATATTTTTAATGCTGAGTTTTTAGATTCAGCCACTTTTAAGACTACACATAGAAAATTTTAAAGTGTCACATTCATTAAAACACTTGTCAGTCAAAGGGAAATTCATTTTCTTTGTACACCAATTTAATCTTTAGACTGATAAATCTCCTGTAGCAAGGGTTTTCAAATGAATATGTAATTCTATAAAGTTATAAAAACAAAACTTATAGGTCACCAGTGAAGGCATACTAGAAATTTCTTCATTGCAGTTGTGAAAATAGGTTTTAAAATTTTATGTTCTTATTTATGCATAGCCAACAGATTTTACTGCAAAATGCTACCAACTCTTCTTAAGTTTTAATATATAGAGCCATGGGTTCTGTAACAGCTCATGTGGTTTGGCAATTCTTCAAAGCAAAACAAAGCAAAACATTCCAAAAAGAAAGATGCCTATTTTGAAGAATATTATGATTCAAAGATTTTTAGAGTAACTTTTTGTATTAAGTTTAGTGTTTTTTCTTAGAGTAACTTTTTGTTTTAAATTTAGTGTTAAGACTTATTTATTTAATACATAAAACAAATGTAATGTATTTTAGGTTATCCATTGTAAATTTAAAGTCCTTTAGCTTAAAAAAGTATACTATTTACTTTTAAAAATAGTATGAGAGGCAAAACCAAAATATTGTAAAGAATCAAAATAGAAATATGATATCCAAATACGTAGGTACTAAGTAGAAATTGTTAAATCGTAAAAACATATCTGATATTATGCATATTCAAAGGATATATAGTAGATATTTTTATCAAGAAAATCAGGTTATTTTCTCATATTACCTGGTTTTATGTGCAGATAAAATGACACTTTATGATATTCTTAAAGATTAATATATTAATTTTTGATAGTGTCTTTGATTATTATAATGCTCTAATGGATAGAGAAATTGAAAATGTACCTAGCAAGATCTCATGTCTGAAAAATCCAGAAGTATATTCTGATTAGGAAGATAAAAGGTGCTAGAGTCCCCAACAAAGTAGTTTTTTTAAGATTTATTTTATTTATTTATGAATACAAGAATGGGGATGTAGGCCAGAGGTGTGGTGGGTGAGAGGA